CAGTGGGCTTCGAAAGTTACTAGGTCGTTCCCACGAGGTGACTTGTGAGTCGACTTAAAAGTCACCTCGGAAGTGGCCACAGTGGGCTTCGAAAGTTACTAGGTCGTTCCCACGAGGTGACTTGTGAGTCGACTTAAAAGTCACCTCGGAAGTGGCCACAGTGGGCTTCGAAAGTTACTAGGTCGTTCCCACGAGGTGACTTGTGAGTCGACTTAAAAGTCACCTCGGAAGTGGCCACAGTGGGCTTCGAAAGTTACTAGGTCGTTCCCACGAGGTGACTTGTGAGTCGACTTAAAAGTCACCTCGGAAGTGGCCACAGTGGGCTTCGAAAGTTACTAGGTCGTTCCCACGAGGTGACTTGTGAGTCGACTTAAAAGTCACCTCGGAAGTGGCCACAGTGGGTTTCGAAAGTTACTAGGTCGTTCCCACGAGGTGACTTGTGAGTCGACTTAAAAGTCACCTCGGAAGTGGCCACAGTGGGCTTCGAAAGTTACTAGGTCGTTCCCACGAGGTGACTTGTGAGTCGACTTAAAAGTCACCTCGGAAGTGGCCACAGTGGGCTTCGAAAGTTACTAGGTCGTTCCCACGAGGTGACTTGTGAGTCGACTTAAAAGTCACCTCGGAAGTGGCCACAGTGGGTTTCGAAAGTTACTAGGTCGTTCCCACGAGGTGACTTGTGAGTCGACTTAAAAGTCACCTCGGAAGTGGCCACAGTGGGCTTCGAAAGTTACTAGGTCGTTCCCACGAGGTGACTTGTGAGTCGACTTAAAAGTCACCTCGGAAGTGGCCACAGTGGGCTTCGAAAGTTACTAGGTCGTTCCCACGAGGTGACTTGTGAGTCGACTTAAAAGTCACCTCGGAAGTGGCCACAGTGGGCTTCGAAAGTTACTAGGTCGTTCCCACGAGGTGACTTGTGAGTCGACTTAAAAGTCACCTCGGAAGTGGCCACAGTGGGCTTCGAAAGTTACTAGGTCGTTCCCACGAGGTGACTTGTGAGTCGACTTAAAAGTCACCTCGGAAGTGGCCACAGTGGGCTTCGAAAGTTACTAGGTCGTTCCCACGAGGTGACTTGTGAGTCGACTTAAAAGTCACCTCGGAAGTGGCCACAGTGGGCTTCGAAAGTTACTAGGTCGTTCCCACGAGGTGACTTGTGAGTCGACTTAAAAGTCACCTCGGAAGTGGCCACAGTGGGCTTCGAAAGTTACTAGGTCGTTCCCACGAGGTGACTTGTGAGTCGACTTAAAAGTCACCTCGGAAGTGGCCACAGTGGGTTTCGAAAGTTACTAGGTCGTTCCCACGAGGTGACTTGTGAGTCGACTTAAAAGTCACCTCGGAAGTGGCCACAGTGGGCTTCGAAAGTTACTAGGTCGTTCCCACGAGGTGACTTGTGAGTCGACTTAAAAGTCACCTCGGAAGTGGCCACAGTGGGTTTCGAAAGTTACTAGGTCGTTCCCACGAGGTGACTTGTGAGTCGACTTAAAAGTCACCTCGGAAGTGGCCACAGTGGGCTTCGAAAGTTACTAGGTCGTTCCCACGAGGTGACTTGTGAGTCGACTTAAAAGTCACCTCGGAAGTGGCCACAGTGGGCTTCGAAAGTTACTAGGTCGTTCCCACGAGGTGACTTGTGAGTCGACTTAAAAGTCACCTCGGAAGTGGCCACAGTGGGCTTCGAAAGTTACTAGGTCGTTCCCACGAGGTGACTTGTGAGTCGACTTAAAAGTCACCTCGGAAGTGGCCACAGTGGGCTTCGAAAGTTACTAGGTCGTTCCCACGAGGTGACTTGTGAGTCGACTTAAAAGTCACCTCGGAAGTGGCCACAGTGGGCTTCGAAAGTTACTAGGTCGTTCCCACGAGGTGACTTGTGAGTCGACTTAAAAGTCACCTCGGAAGTGGCCACAGTGGGCTTCGAAAGTTACTAGGTCGTTCCCACGAGGTGACTTGTGAGTCGACTTAAAAGTCACCTCGGAAGTGGCCACAGTGGGTTTCGAAAGTTACTAGGTCGTTCCCACGAGGTGACTTGTGAGTCGACTTAAAAGTCACCTCGGAAGTGGCCACAGTGGGCTTCGAAAGTTACTAGGTCGTTCCCACGAGGTGACTTGTGAGTCGACTTAAAAGTCACCTCGGAAGTGGCCACAGTGGGCTTCGAAAGTTACTAGGTCGTTCCCACGAGGTGACTTGTGAGTCGACTTAAAAGTCACCTCGGAAGTGGCCACAGTGGGTTTCGAAAGTTACTAGGTCGTTCCCACGAGGTGACTTGTGAGTCGACTTAAAAGTCACCTCGGAAGTGGCCACAGTGGGCTTCGAAAGTTACTAGGTCGTTCCCACGAGGTGACTTGTGAGTCGACTTAAAAGTCACCTCGGAAGTGGCCACAGTGGGCTTCGAAAGTTACTAGGTCGTTCCCACGAGGTGACTTGTGAGTCGACTTAAAAGTCACCTCGGAAGTGGCCACAGTGGGCTTCGAAAGTTACTAGGTCGTTCCCACGAGGTGACTTGTGAGTCGACTTAAAAGTCACCTCGGAAGTGGCCACAGTGGGCTTCGAAAGTTACTAGGTCGTTCCCACGAGGTGACTTGTGAGTCGACTTAAAAGTCACCTCGGAAGTGGCCACAGTGGGCTTCGAAAGTTACTAGGTCGTTCCCACGAGGTGACTTGTGAGTCGACTTAAAAGTCACCTCGGAAGTGGCCACAGTGGGCTTCGAAAGTTACTAGGTCGTTCCCACGAGGTGACTTGTGAGTCGACTTAAAAGTCACCTCGGAAGTGGCCACAGTGGGCTTCGAAAGTTACTAGGTCGTTCCCACGAGGTGACTTGTGAGTCGACTTAAAAGTCACCTCGGAAGTGGCCACAGTGGGTTTCGAAAGTTACTAGGTCGTTCCCACGAGGTGACTTGTGAGTCGACTTAAAAGTCACCTCGGAAGTGGCCACAGTGGGCTTCGAAAGTTACTAGGTCGTTCCCACGAGGTGACTTGTGAGTCGACTTAAAAGTCACCTCGGAAGTGGCCACAGTGGGTTTCGAAAGTTACTAGGTCGTTCCCACGAGGTGACTTGTGAGTCGACTTAAAAGTCACCTCGGAAGTGGCCACAGTGGGCTTCGAAAGTTACTAGGTCGTTCCCACGAGGTGACTTGTGAGTCGACTTAAAAGTCACCTCGGAAGTGGCCACAGTGGGCTTCGAAAGTTACTAGGTCGTTCCCACGAGGTGACTTGTGAGTCGACTTAAAAGTCACCTCGGAAGTGGCCACAGTGGGCTTCGAAAGTTACTAGGTCGTTCCCACGAGGTGACTTGTGAGTCGACTTAAAAGTCACCTCGGAAGTGGCCACAGTGGGCTTCGAAAGTTACTAGGTCGTTCCCACGAGGTGACTTGTGAGTCGACTTAAAAGTCACCTCGGAAGTGGCCACAGTGGGCTTCGAAAGTTACTAGGTCGTTCCCACGAGGTGACTTGTGAGTCGACTTAAAAGTCACCTCGGAAGTGGCCACAGTGGGCTTCGAAAGTTACTAGGTCGTTCCCACGAGGTGACTTGTGAGTCGACTTAAAAGTCACCTCGGAAGTGGCCACAGTGGGCTTCGAAAGTTACTAGGTCGTTCCCACGAGGTGACTTGTGAGTCGACTTAAAAGTCACCTCGGAAGTGGCCACAGTGGGCTTCGAAAGTTACTAGGTCGTTCCCACGAGGTGACTTGTGAGTCGACTTAAAAGTCACCTCGGAAGTGGCCACAGTGGGCTTCGAAAGTTACTAGGTCGTTCCCACGAGGTGACTTGTGAGTCGACTTAAAAGTCACCTCGGAAGTGGCCACAGTGGGTTTCGAAAGTTACTAGGTCGTTCCCACGAGGTGACTTGTGAGTCGACTTAAAAGTCACCTCGGAAGTGGCCACAGTGGGCTTCGAAAGTTACTAGGTCGTTCCCACGAGGTGACTTGTGAGTCGACTTAAAAGTCACCTCGGAAGTGGCCACAGTGGGCTTCGAAAGTTACTAGGTCGTTCCCACGAGGTGACTTGTGAGTCGACTTAAAAGTCACCTCGGAAGTGGCCACAGTGGGCTTCGAAAGTTACTAGGTCGTTCCCACGAGGTGACTTGTGAGTCGACTTAAAAGTCACCTCGGAAGTGGCCACAGTGGGCTTCAAAAGTTACTAGGTCGTTCCCACGAGGTGACTTGTGAGTCGACTTAAAAGTCACCTCGGAAGTGGCCACAGTGGGCTTCGAAAGTTACTAGGTCGTTCCCACGAGGTGACTTGTGAGTCGACTTAAAAGTCACCTCGGAAGTGGCCATAGTGGGTGCGGGCATTCACTAAGTCATTGCCTGCGCAATTTCCCTCCTCTTCTCCCCTCCACCCACCCAGCCTCTGTCGCAATATGTCGTCTTATTCCAAGATAACTTTCACATGTGCTACCAAGCAAAGTCACATGCACATGTGGAGAGAGACATGCACATGTGCAGAGAGACATCGGAGTTGGGTTCTCTGCGGGCTTGGCCTCCTCTCTTCTCCTCTCCACGTCACCCCTTCCCCCAGCTTCCTGCTTCTCTTCCTGGAGAACTTTGGCTTCTAAAAGCTGGAGGCCTTGGTTGGTTGTTTCATCGCCGTCATGCCAAGGCACCTCGCCTCATACCACTCTCCTTGCTCTACCCTTCCTTGCCTTGATGCCCCTTCCCTTCCCCACATCCCCGGCTTCCTGCTGCTCTTTCTGGAGAAATTTGGCATTCGCAAGCTCGAGACGCTCTCTGGTCTTTTCATCGCTGTCGTGCCAAAGCGCCTCATACCACTCTCCTCGCCTTGCCCTTCCTTCCCTTCCGTTGATGCGCCTCTTCCCCTCTCCCCCATCCCAGCTTCCTCCTCCTCTTTCTTGAGAACTTTGGCATTTGCAAGCTGGAGGTGCTCTTTAGTCTCTTCATCGCTCTCATGCCAAGGCGCCACAAACCACTCTCCGCCTTGCTCTGCCTTGCCTTGCTTTGCCTTGCCTTGCCTTGCCCTGCCTTGCCTTGCCTTGACCCCTCCCTTCTTCAGCTTCCTGCTGCTCTTCCTTGAGAACTTTGGCATTCGCAAGCTCGAGGCGCTCTTTGGGCTCTTCATCGCTGTCATGGCGGCCTCCTTCGCCCGCATGTTCGTCGAAGCTGCGCCTGATGCAGGGGCAATTGCACATGGTGGGTGGACCAACAAGCACACACATGCTTTCATGTGGGTGTGTTGATTCATGCCGCGTGCACATCTCATGCACACTCACATGCGGAATGCGTGCACATTGAGACTGCAAACATTGAAATGCATCTCAGTCATCACTCTCACATCACATCACATCACATCACATCACATCACCCCCTCGTGCGTGCCCAACCACCTCGCATCTTGGCCTGCTCGTCCCCTCCATCCCTCGCGGAGCAACGAGCGTGGCAGTGAGCATACTGGCCGCGGTCATCATTCCTCTCATGCCCCACCGCACCCGTACACATACCCACGCACCCCATGCAGGCCTGCGCGTCCCCTCCATCCCTCGAGGAGCCTCTTCCCCCCCCCCTTTCCCTCACGATTTCTGCCAATCCCTGCCCATGCCCCATCCCCGCCCATGCCCCATCCCCGCCCATGCCCCATCCCCACCCATGCCCCATCCCCGCCCATGCCCCATCCCCCCCCATGCCCCATCCCCGCCCATGCCCCATCCCCCCCCATGCCCCATCCCCGCCCATGCCCCATCCCCCCCCATGCCCCATCCCCACCCATGCCCCATCGCCGCAGTTCTCCTAGTGCCCTCCATCCCCAAGGGAGCCACCAGCATGGCAGTGAGCAGAGCGTACTGGGAGCAGTCATCATGCCGCACAACATCTTCCTTCAACTTTGTCCCTATCTTCCTCTCGTTCCACACCCCAATGCATGCAGGCCTGCTCGTGCCCACCATCCCCAAGGGAGCCACCAGCATGGCAGTGAGCATACTGGGGGCAGTCATCATGCCGCACAACATCTTCCTTCACTCCGCTCTTGTGCAATCGCGAGCCATCGACCGCCACTCCCCACCGCGCGTGGCAGAGGCGCTGCTCTACTTCACGCTAGAATCCGCCCTCGCGCTGCTGCTTTCCTTCCTCGTCAACCTCTGCGTTGTCTCCGTCTTTGCGCGCCTTTTCTATGGGCGACCAGGAGCAGCAGATATTGGGCTCGACAACGCTGCTGAGTATCTGCAGGTATGTGTGTGGGTTGTTGGGCTGTTCAAGCAGCATTTAGAGAGGTATGTACTGAGAGATCGTTTGGTTTTGCTCATTTGAGCGTTTCAGAGGCTTTACCCTACTTCACACTCGAGTCCGCTCTGCCGCTGCTGCTCTCCTTCCTTGTCAACCTCTGCGTCGTCTCCGTCTTTGCGCGCCTTTTCTTTGGGCAACCAGGCGCTGCTGATATTGGGCTCGACAACGCTGCTGAGTATCTGCAGGTATGGTGTTATGTTACATGGGAGGAGTGCTTGTCCTGCAGGTATGGTGTTATGTTACATGGGAGGAGTGCTTGTATGGTCCGCTGCTGCTCTTCTCCCTCGTCGACCTCTCTGTCATCTCCGTCTTTGCCCGCCTCGCTTATGGCGACCACGAGCAATGCTGCAGCGTTTTCAACGCTTGATATTGGCCTTGACAACGCTGCAGAGGACTCGCATGTACGTGTATGTGGAGGGGACTTAGCTTTTGGGCTGTTCGAAAAAACTTTTAGATCAATGACCGGCTATATGGGAGGAGTGCTTGTCTGGTCCGCTGCTGGTCTGTACTTTTGGATCAATGATACAGCTCTAGTGACCAGATATCCTCCCCTCTCGCCACCCACTTGTACCCGTTGCGCCTCCCCTCTCGTGATAAAAGAGATGTTTTGAGACCCACTTGTACCCGTTGCGCCTCCCCTCTCATGATAAAAGAGATGTTTTGAGACCCACTTGTACCCGTTGCGCCTCCCCTCATGTGATAAAAGAGATGTTTTGAGACCCACTTGTACCCGTTGCGCCTCCCCTCTCGTGATAAAAGAGATGTTTTGAGACCCACTTGTACCCGTTGCGCCTCCCCTCTCGTGATAAAAGAGATGTTTTGAGACCCACTTGTACCCGTTGCGCCTCCCCTCTCGTGATAAAAGAGATGTTTTGAGACCCACTTGTACCCGTTGCGCCTCCCCTCTCGTGATAAAAGAGATGTTTTGAGACCCACTTGTACCCGTTGCGCCTCCCCTCTCGTGATAAAAGAGATGTTTTGAGACCCACTTGTACCCTTTGCGCCTCCCCTCTCGTGATAAAAGAGATGTTTTGAGACCCACTTGTACCCGTTGCGCCTCCCCTCTCGTGATAAAAGAGATGTTTTGAGACCCACTTGTACCCTTTGCGCCTCCCCTCTCGTGATAAAAGAGATGTTTTGAGACCCACTTGTACCCTTTGCGCCTCCCCTCTCGTGATAAAAGAGATGTTTTGAGACCCACTTGTACCCTTTGTGCCTCCCCTCTCGTGATAAAAGAGATGTTTTGAGACCCACTTGTACCCTTTGCGCCTCCCCTCTCGTGATAAAAGAGATGTTTTGAGACCCACTTGTACCCTTTGCGCCTCCCCTCTCGTGATAAAAGAGATGTTTTGAGACCCACTTGTACCCTTTGCGCCTCCCCTCTCGTGATAAAAGAGATGTTTTGAGACCCACTTGTACCCTTTGCGCCTCCCCTCTCGTGATAAAAGAGATGTTTTGAGACCCACTTGTACCCTTTGCGCCTCCCCTCTCGTGATAAAAGAGATGTTTTGAGACCCACTTGTACCCGTTGCGCCTCCCCTCTCGCCACCCCAGCAAGCCTTCGGCTCCACCACCTTCCCAGTGGTGTTCATCTGGGCAGCGGGCCTGCTAGCAGCGGGGCAGTCATCCACAATGACAGGCACATACACGGGGCAGTTCGTCATGTCGGGCTTTCTCGACCTGCACGTGCGCAAGTGGGTGCGCGTCTGCATCACCCGCACCGTTGCCATGGTGCCCACCATCGCCGTCGCCCTGCTCTACACCCCTCCCACCTCGCACACACCAGCGCCACCCCCACCCTTGGCAGCACTGCATGTGCCAGTGGCAGGAGGATTGGGTGCAGTACAAGGGGCACCGTCTGCAGCTGCAGCAGCAGCAGCAGCAGCAGCAGCAGCGAGATTATTGGAAGAAGAGTGTTTTACTCGTTCGTCCTTCACAACCTCCCCCATGCCTTCCGTTCTCCACCATGTCATCAACACCTCCCTTCCTGCCTCCGCCTTCTCCTCCTCGCCTCTCTCCAACCCTTCACTGCAGATTCCAGCCGCACTCCCTGTCGCACTCCCCTCCTCCCTCGCCTCCCCGCCACTGACAGCACCAACCATGCTAACTCTGTCCTCATTGGATGTTCTAAACCAGTGGCTCAACGTGCTGCAGTCCGTGCAACTGCCGTTTGCTGTCATCCCACTCCTGGCTATCGCGTCGTCAACCCACGTGATGGGACGATATGCCATCAAGGGAGCGGTCAAGGTGAGCGCTATTTGCTGTTGGTGCAGTGCAGTGCAGCGCAGTGCAGTGCAGTGCAGTGCAGTGCAGTGCAGCTGCTGCTGTGTTGTGCTGTGCTGCCAAGGTGAGGTGGCTCCACGTGTTGTTGCAGTCCGTGCAGCTGCCCTTGCTGTCATCCTACTCTTAGCCATTGCATCCTCAACCCACGTGATGGGTCGATACGCCATCAAGGGAGCACATAAGGTGAAGGTGTGAGTGAATCTAAGTGAGTGTGAGAGCAAGCGTGTGTGAGTGTGAGCGTGTGTGAGTGAGGTGAGTGTGAGTAAGTATGAGTAAGTGTGAGTACCTGTGAGTAAGTGAGTGCGAATCTGAGTACGTGGCGGTCCGTGCAGCTGCACGATAACCATCAACCTCTACCGCCCTCTTTTCTCTCCACCACATCCTCTCTTCCTTGAATCATCTCAACTTCTCTCTGGCCTGGGCATCAGCACCCCACAGCATCATCTACCAATCTCTCTATATGTCTCCCTTTGCCTTTCTTCTGCCCTCTCCACCCCCGTCAGGTGCTAGCGTGGGCATCAGCAGCACTGGTAATCACCATCAACCTCTCGAGCTCTCTCCTTCTGTGTCTCTCTCCACCTCTCCTCCCCTCAGGTGCTAGCGTGGGCATCAGCAGCGCTGGTAATCACCATTAACCTCTACCTCCTCTTTGTCTTCGCCACAACCAACCTCCCTCACTCCCTCTCCACAGTCCTCCTCCTCCTCCTCCTCTCCCTCCCTTACCTCCTCTTCCTCATCCACCTCGCCCTGCATCCCCGGAGCGAGGGCTCCGAGTTCAACCATCCGCACCGCTCCCGATCGCACAGCACCTGCAGCAACGAGCGCTGCCGTCTCGCCAGCCCCACGGGGGTCAATCGACTGGATTGTGTAACCTTTTCCGGTGCTTCTGATGCCACCGGTGCTACTGGTTCTGCTGGGTCTGCTGGTTCTGGTCAACTGGATGGGAGTGTAGGTGGAGTTAGGGTTAACTGTTGCAGTGGCAGCAGCAGCAATGACCCACTCCTCTCTCCTCCAGCTGGGCGTGTAGGGAGGGGAGGTGGGCTAGGTATGCCTTTGCTGGATGTAAAGTTGGACGAGTAACGCTTTAGAGAGGAAAGTACAAATGTGGTACCGGCATATGAGTAGCAAGGGAGCTACTTGTTTACTTTGTGAGCTGTTACGTATGTATATAGAGTAGTGTACATGGAATATGTGCTAGTTTTGACTGTTGCACGGGTGGCTGGCAGGTTGCTTGCATTGCATTGCATGCATTCTTGCTCCATTCTGGTGTTAGCTGCAGGCACCACTTGCCAATATCTCTCCGATATCTTATCACTACACTACTACCGTATCCTGTCTCGCATTTTTCACAAGTCCAACGGTGCTAGGTCGGTAGGTAGGTACCATAGGTGCACTTGTCGTCCCCTATTCCCCTGTTCAATTTCCACTGCTGTGCTACGGTATACCATCGAGCACAGTACCACAATGTTTTTCAGTGACACTAAAAGACTGTGTTCCTACGGCATCATATCATGTAACCTCGTATCACATTCGTGTCGAACCACACGAACGTATCCAACCGCAGCCGAACACACTAAAACGCATTTCACCACGCGAATCAGATACGAGGTGTTTCTGATACGAGGTGTAGGAACACGCTCTAACCACAGCCTTTGCAGGTGTGTACCAATGGGCATGTGATTTGATGAATCATTGCACGATTATGTTACCGTCATCGCCCGGATATACCGTATTACCCCGGATATAGGCGCATCTGCGCTTATAATAAAATCGGTTTTTTTTGGGGGTGGCGCTTGTAATTGAATCACGGCCATAAGCGCCGGCGCTTATATAATGACAAATACAGAAATACAACTTAAATGCATCAAATTGTACATTTCAGTCTTGTAATTTTGATCGAGTCGAAATTTATAGCGTCCTGAATCAGAATCGCGTGAGGGCGATTCTCTGACGCTGCAAATAGCTTTTAGCACGTCAATTTGCCCGTGTGCCACCTCATCCTGACTGGACGCGAAAGCAGTCAGGACCGCGAAAGTCAAACATGTCAACAGATCTAGGCAAGAATGAATGAACTAGGAACAGATGGGATACAAATAGGAACCCTAGAATGTATTGTCCCCCCTGTAAGCTACCCCACTAGAGCCTACAAAACTACAGCATGCATATATAATTTGACACACCCCCATAGGCAAAGTGGGGGAGAGCAAAGGGTCACAAGACCAGTCAAGCAAAGTAAGCTCAGGGTGGATCACAACGTCACCACACACTCTGAGCACAAGCAAAAGGCCACAAGGCCAGTTCACATGCAGAGAGATATAAGCAACAGCGACAATACAGTGATCCCTACCTAGCAAGAGCAAACATGTAGGTATGTATATAGATCACAGTACAAACAAGGTCAAGCAGTAAGCAAGTGAGAGAACGTAGGTACAAGGCCTAGAGCAGTGCAGTGCCGCTGATGATCACTAGGCGGAAGTGCCTTGGTGAATATATCAGCGGTGTTGGCCCGCGTGTCCACGTAAGCAAGACGAAGCTGGCCACGCTGCTGCAGCTCTCGAGCCAGGAAGTAACGGAGAGCAATGTGCTTCGTTCTGTGCTCCAGTCTGTGCTCCTAACACAAGGCAAGGGCCGCCTTGTTGTCACCGTACAGAACTGGAGGAGAACTAGGCCGCTCTCCCAGGTCAGTCAGCAGGTAGGTAAGCCAGCGTAACTCCTGTGCAGCCATGGCTGTGGCGTAGATCTCAGCCTCACAACTGGAGCTGAGAACAGAAGACGAGCGGGTAGACCGCCACGAAACAGAGCCGGAACCAAGGCTGAAAGTGTAACCCTGTGACGACCGCTGCGTAGCCAGGTCGTCAACCCAAGAGGCGTCTGAGTGTCCAGTGAGGACAACTCGACCCCGTCCTCCAAGCACCAGCCCCATGCCTGATGTACTGCACAAGTAGCGTAGCACCCTCTTAGCAGCCTCCCAGTGCTCTCGCCGGTGTCTCCCAGGTGCGACGTAGCGAGCTAGGATGCTAAGAGGGTACGCAAGGTCAGGTCGAGTGCAGGTCATCAGGTACATGAGGCAGCCAACAAGCTCTGGGTACGGGCCACTCGGCTCTACGGACTCGTCCGAAGGTGGAGCTGAGAGCGAGTGACGCGTAGACTGAGGAGTGGACTGTAGTGAGGAGTACTGGAAGTCGAAGCGCTGAAGGATCTGCTGCACCATGTGTGACTGAGTCAAGGTAATGGTGCGGCGTGCTCTGTCCCGGGTGATCTGCAAGCCAAGGTAGCTGCGCAGCTCACCCAGATCAGTGCACGTGTGTCTCTTCTGCAGCTCCGACTTCACAAGGGCGAGTGCCTCAGTGTCAGCAGTGGCAAAGACCAAGTCGTCGACGTACACGAGGATGTAGAACGGCGGCAGCGAGGTGTCGGTGCGGAGAAACAGCGACGGGTCTGCAGTGGAGGGAGCAAACCCAAGTGCCGCAAGTGTCGTCCTCAGTGTGTCGTGCCACTCACGCGGCGCCTGGCGGAGACCGTAGACTAGCCGCCGGAGGCTCCACTGGGTACCAGGAGGGAACGACCCAGTGAAGCCAGGTGGGCGGCGCAGCCAGATCTCCTCGTGCAGGCTGCCCTGCAAGAACGCTGTGCTGAAGTCAAGAGAGTGAAGCTCGTAGTCACGCTGGGCGGCAACGTGCAGCAGTACTCGAAGAGTGGTCATCTTCGGGGTAGGGGAGAAGGTCTGGAAGAAGTCAACTCCCTGTTGCTGACTGAAGCCTCGTGCAACGTAACGAGCCTTGAAGACAGGCGGAGAACCCGGCGGCCGCTTCACCCTGAAAATTCACATGCCATCGACGATGTTCGCCCCAGGAGGGGGGACCTCGTCGACGTAGGTGCCTGTGGATTTCCAGGATGCCATCTCTGCGTCCATGGCTGTCTGCCACTGAGAGGAGTAGGGACCCGAGATCGCCTCTGCGTAAGAGCGCGGAGTGGGGATGTCTAGTGCATCCGGGTCTCCCTCAGGGGCAAGCAGCCAGGCCACGAGATGAGGTACAGCAGCCGCAAGAGAGTCAAAGTCCTCCTGCCTGTCCTCAAGGACGTCCGTGCCAAGAGCACACTCACCCCCGACGGACGGAGGACAGACAGACTCAGACCCAGCAACAAGACTGGTAGCGTACTCTAGACGACAGACAGCAGCAAAGTCAACAAGCTCAGCGACCAAAGCAGACGCAGCAGCAGACTCAAACGAGGGGTCAGTGACAACAGTGGCTAACAGACGCGTGACAGTAGGGTGCTCAGCACGAAACCGGTCAGACGCAGGGTCGGGAACGTCAGGAAGAGAAGACGCAGGAGGAGACGGCAGGGGGACACGCTGTGGACCAGTGGAAGGACGAAGGGCCATAATGTGCGTGCCAGGAACAGGAGGAGGACGCGGACGCGCGACACGACGACCAGTGGGACCAGTGCGCGCAGTGCGAGCAGCGCGAGCAGCGCGAACAGGCGAGGCAGGACGAGACGCAGGCTCACGACGCTCTGTAAGCGAGTCCGGCTGTGCAGTGTAAGGCGCGGGAGCAGGCAGTGGGGAGCCGGGCTGTAAGGGAAGGCCAGTGGAAGACGGGAGGGAAAGAACCTGGCGAAGCACAGTATCAGGCGGCGGAAGAGCCGACGGCGACGGCGGAGCGAAGAACAGTCGCGTCGGCGGAGCTCCGCCAGGACCCCCAGCACCAGCAGCACCAGCGCCAGCTCCTCCCTCCGCAGCACCCCCAGAACCGGTGTCTCCAGCACCAGGGGCCCCCGCAGCGCCAGAACCCTCCTCTCCAGCACCTCCAGAACCAGCAGGACCAGCTCCTCCGGTACCACCAGCTCCAGTGTCTCCAGCTCCAGCAGCTCCAGGACCAGCAGCTCCAGTACCCTCAGAACCTCCAGGTCCAGTGTCACTAGGCACAGCTCCTCCAGCTCCAGCAGCGCCACGTGGAAGACGAAAGCGCCGGACGTACCACTCGCGAAGCTGCTGCGGGGAGAGAGACTCCCGGAGAGACGGCTCAGCACCCCCAGTCGCAGCACCCCCAGGCTCAGCACCCCCAGGCTCCGCACCCTCAGGCTCGGTACCCTCAGTCGCAGCACCCCCAGGCTCAGCACCCCCAGGCTCCGCACCCTCAGGCTCAGCACTCTCAGTCGCAGCACCCCCAGGCTCAGCACCCCCAGGCTCAGCACCCCCAGGCTCGGCACCCCCAGGCTCCGCACCCCCAGACGCAGCACCCCCAGGCTCAGCACCCCCAAGCTCCGCACCCCCAGGCTCAGCACCCTCAGTAGTACCACCCGCAGTAGCACCTGAGTCACCTGTGACCTCGACAGGCTCAGCGACAGGAGGAGGGTCTACCTGAGAGACACCTGAAGGAGCAGGACCCTGAGGGGGAAGGGGGTCTACCGGAGGGGGACCTGGAGCGAGGAAAAGCGGCGGGGGAGGGAGGGGGGCAGTGCGGTAGGGGAAGAGACGGTAAAAAGGGACCGACTCGTCAAAGGTGACGTCCTGAGAGGCGAAGACCCGGCGCGAGGTGGGGTGGTAAAACTGCCAGCCTGGCGCGTCAGGGACAAAGCCAAGGAAGACACAGGGAAGTGTGCGGGCAGAGAGCTTGTCCGCGGACGTATCACGGACAAGGGCACGAGCACCCCACACCCGGAAGCGCGACGCATCGCCAACCTCCCCCGTCCAACGCAGTGTAGGCGAGGTCTCCGGCAAGGAGACACGGGGCCAGAGGTTGAGCTGATGTGCGGCGTACCGGACAGCAAACGGCCACAGAAAATGGGGAGCCGCCGCATGGACCAAGGAGGTACGAGCGACCTCCATGACCAGGCCAATGCGGCGCTCAGCGACCCCATTCTGCTGCGGGGAGCCCGGAAGCGTGAAGGACTGCTCGATGCCCTCCGCCTGACAGAAAGTCCTCAAGAGGTCGGAGGAGAACTCACCACCTCTGTCAGAGTGCAGACGCAGGACAGGAAGATCTGTCCGGAAACGGCGGCGGAGCTGGAGACGAACTGTGCGGATCCAAGGGATCAGAACAGCAGGGACCTCACCCTTGGTGCGCAAGGGGAAGACC